CAGGAGTTTCAAAATGATGTATCACAAGACCCCCCTTTTCATTCATTTTTTTCCCAGATGACGCTCAGTCGCCATCTTGAAAGTTTCATCTGTCAATTTCACTTTAAAATAAAGTATTTATGCATTAATTTCGTTTTCCCAAATTTTAATTTTTTGAGTTGACCCCTTCAAAAAATAAAAGGGGGAACATTAAAGAAATACACTGTATGCATATACATTGTATAAGTTACCACTTTCATTTGTAATTAATGTTAGTGCAGTTCCGTCCTATAAGTAACAAATAAAAGTGGTGAAAAACATAGAAAGTTTCAATTCGCATTTCTTCATTATGATTTCCTACTACGTAGTAACGGCTACATCCATCAATTCATTTTTAGTTCATTGGTGAGAGGCATGAAAGAAGTGATTTGCGTAAAAAATGCATCAAAGAATTTTTATAAAATTTTGTGTGAAAAATGCAATTGAGTGTTCAAAAACACTGACGGTGGCATATGGAAATCGTTATCTGAGTCTGAAAATGTCTTACAAGTGTTGAAAGCTTTTCACATAAGGTCGAGAAGATGTGAAGACGACGCTCATCCTGGACGCCCCAGCACATCAACAACCGATGAAAATGTTGAGGAAGTGAAGAAGATTGTTATGGAGTATCGGTTGGCTCATGATATGTAATTTTTTCGGAAATTTTGGGCATGAGGTGCGTGACAGCGAAGTTCGTTCCATAATTGCTGAATTTTGATCAAAAGAACCGTCGCATGAGCATCGTTCAGTGAATGAACGGAAAGGTTCATAACTGGTGACCAATTATGGGTATATGGTTAAGCTATAATAAGGTCTCACAGGAAGCAAGTCTTTCAACTCTTTCTCAAGAGCGCTAAGATCATTTATTGTTTATATAGCTCGAGGAAGGTGATTGAATATTTTGAGACCATTGTAAATAATGGAATATTTAACTAGGGTCGAAGAAGGCAGCGCTAATTTGAAGCTGAATTTCGCCTGGTTTTCAAAGAGAAGTCAAATCGTTTTGTATATAAATAACGAGACCACAGTTAGGATTCTGTTAGAGACGAGAAAATGCCGACATATGCATCGTATTGCACGTTTTTGTATCAGTGATATTGATCGTAGGCATGCGATAGAAAACACACCCTAAAAGCAAATAATATAATGAAGATGGGATTCGAAGAAAGAATGATAAACCATTTTAGCTACCTCACATCCAAGCTCTAATGCAGTTACTCGTATTGCATAACAACCAGAGGATAGGTTGGATTTTAAACTATCTACATGTTTGTTGAATTCAAAATTATTGTCAATGAACATGCCAAGGAATTTAGAAGTTGTTCAGTGTCAATTTGAATATTATTTAAATGTACAGCTGGAATCTGGCAACGATAGCACTACTTTTATTTTTGAACTCAAGCTCATGAGATTTGAGTCAAACCGGTCTTTCATTTCTCGTGATGTCACCCTCAATAAGTTCATACAACGTATGGTTGCCAGCGGCATGCCATAAAATTGTGGTATCATCAGCAAATGAAGTAAATTTACCTTGGATGTTAATATATTGTAGGTAATTAAAGTAAATCAAGGGTGAAAGTGGACCCAGAACAGAACCTTGTGTGACGCCGCAACTTATACCTACATTTGAGTATGAAGTGGTTTTGACCACCTGGGTGCGATCTGCTGAGTATGATTTAAACCACTTGAGACTTACTCCAGTTATACCGTATCTACTGAGTTTCCGTAAAATAATTTTATGATTCACGCAATCAAATGCTTTGGCCATAACTACAACCACATCCACTGTTTCTTTGTCATTTATGTTGGAATCAACATTGTATAGCATCGGAAGTGTTTTTTTTGCTGCTTTCGGAAACCAAACTGGAAACCAGAAAGCAAAGAAGTTTTGTTTTAAATAATTTTTCTATCAATTTAGCCATTACAGAGATTAGAGAAATTGGACGAAGACAAGGACGAAGACCAGTCCAGCTGATGAAGCAAACACGTCTCGAATAAAATTTATAGTGTAACGAATCCGAAGCCACCCCTGACCGATATGTCGGTCAGCGAGCAAACACATGACATCACCGCAAAAGAATGCAGTCGGTAACCGCCAATTAAACTATAGTTGAGTACCGAAACGACTACAGAATTGTAGAACAATCGTTACCGATATATAAGGTCGGCTTCTCGTCCAGAATCTGGACGAGAGTTCAGAAAGTGAATCGAGCGGTTAAACAAATAAAATAAGCGTTAAGTGCTTAGTGTTGTAAGTAAATTAGTTTGTGATAGTGAAATATTGTTGAAAATAAATTTGTTTGAGACAGTTAATTGTTTAAACTGTTACAATAGTGTGAACATTCAATGATTATTATCATGGATTTATTAAATTTCATCAAGTTAATTCACAAATCAAATACTCTTCATTCGGGTGAAAGATAGTTCAGGACCAAAGCCACTGGGTATATTCAACCCTCCACTACAATCCACGAGTGTTTATTATGACCTGGGTGAAAGGTAAAGCGTTACAGACACTATTTATAGTCAGTAGCTTCAGTTGGGCACATAATATTGGCGATGGGATCTTGATTGAGTAATATGGTATTGGAATATTTTGGATCGACTCTTTTCGAACGAGTTTGGCTTTTAAATTGATTGAAGGAAGCCGTATACACGTCCATTCAATGAATAATTCCTACGAACGTCCATAACTCAGATTCTGAGCCGGAGCGATACGAAGTAACTCACCAAATCGTAGCAATAACTTACGGAGTGTTTACGTAGCCCATGTATGCGTCTACCGAGAAATTGCAATGTTTATCGGATCCTCTCCAAACGGTGCATCTGGTGGCTGGAAAAGCTCTTTCGTTCCTCACCGATTCTGCATAGAGCCTCCAGGCTCTTACGTGACTGCATGCGACTGAAATGAATATATTGATACGTAAATAACCAATTAAGAGGATTAGAGTAACGATATTTTCCTTCAGAATACATTATCTTTCATTTCGTTATTTATTCCGACCATATATTTGAGTTATTATGCCTTTGATATTACGGAAAATTGGATAAGTGATGGTTGAGTTGCATTGTCGCATTTGAAAAGAGTTCATTTCAGCAATTACCTCCAATTTCCCATTTCATAATTCGATAAGAATTGAACATAATGTAGGTATTTTGACAAAATGGTTAAGTCTTTCATGGCAGAGGTTTTCAGAGTCACTATTTTCCGGGTTTGAAGGCTGTTCATTATTGGAGTTTCTTCCTCACGTTTAGCTGGCGCGATTGGCTAGTTTCCTCAGACATTTATACATCCTGAGTTTATATCTTCGATAACTGAATATTACGACTGCTTAACGCGTATTTATGTTGACTCCTCAGGTACTTTGGTGTGCTAATACCTGTGTAGTCAAAGTAAACGATATTGTGTACACTTAAAGTTGGCGGTACTCTCAAAAGCCAAAGAAAACAATGCATAGAAATGAACCGGCTGCGAATTAGTCAACGTGGACTGTAGAATTGGCGGTTCGTATTGGATACTTTTTACTAACCAAGTTTTATGATTGGCTGAAGTGTCATAAAATAAATTTGAAGTCATGTTACGGTGACGAATAGAAATCGGAGAATGCGGGGATGGTTATCATCGTCGTGTAATCAATGTTCAGTTCGGCAACTGATCGCGATTTTATGTTGGAATACGATATTGGTGCAGTTATAATTACTCAAAATTTTTGTTATTTGTTTGAAATGTGGCGTCCTTCGATAAATACTAATAGTAATAACGAGTGTGATAACAACGCATACTCTTTCCAGTCTAGTGATTCCAATAGCGATGGTGAACAATGCGAGAAAGATTCGTATGCATTTGAATATTGTAATACAGAGAGTATGTTTCAATGAATATGAGAATCTACATCTGAAGTTTGGTTTCGAGGGAAACAAACTATAACTAGTAACATCAGATTTGACCAAAATTTTTTTCTCAACTGTACGTAAAATAGATAAAAACAAACCTTATGAAAGCAGGACGAGATGTGACACAGGATTATCAAAACTTTTAGTTGTTCATCTAATAAAATCATTGGAAAAAACAATATACGACTGTTAAAAGAGCAATGAGATTCCAACAACTGAAATCATACGGAAGAAATTGATTACTTCCAGCCATAACGTGAGCTGCTGTAACAAAACTACCCAGAATTGGATGAAGAAACTAAGATTTAGATTTAAAATAAAAAACAAACGTCAATCAGATGCGGAGAGCAGAAGAATAGAGGAATTGACTAACAAATAACTGAATATAGACAAGAACAACGGCAAATTTTCTATTTGGACAAAACTTGGTATGACATTCACGGCACAGTTACGAAAGGGTGGACTGATGGTTGTTCGCCAAACATGCCTGCAAACAAAGGATCGCAATCATTGTGCATTGCGGAGAAAGTGAAGGATGGGTTCCGAATTCTTTGAAATTATGTGGAAAAAAACTTGAGGACTGCAATGTTGACTATCATAAGAACATGGAAGCTAAAGTTTTTTAATGGATAACAATTTGTATTTTGAAGAATACTATACTAAAAACCAACTACTTGAAGTTTTACAGACGAAAACATTTGATAAAGTGTATGCTCTTGAGAGTATTCCTGAAAAGTATGGACACACCATACTGAGACTTTCCCCTTATTTTTGGGTTTTCAACCCCATCGAGTTGATTTGGGGAAAATTGAAACAAATCATCAGGCGTAAAAATAATTTTCCAAAATTTGATAAGTCGGTAATAGAGATAATTGAAGAAGAAGTATCTAATATTACCTGGATTTGGTAAATTGTCAATAACGTTCGTTGATCCTTATCTACTTGCCGTCACGCTGTTTACTTTTCTTGAACTTCTTAGACAGTATTTGATATTCTTGTTTGAAACCTCCATTGATATACAAAGATCCTAAGAGAGGTCGTCCTCATCTGTTCATCAGAATAAACATTTTTTTTTATTGAATTCTATACACAGATGAGTATATTCCGAATGCATTACCAATCAAAAATTGTTTTTCATGACTATCCTTAACAAAAAGGTGACTTTTTTTGTCATGTTTCGGCCAGAGCCCTTACAGTTCTGAAACAAAATTTGGAAAATTTCTATAGAACGTTTTGGGGCAGACAGAATTGGTTCCACAGAAAATTTCAATATGTGCAATAGGTTTGCAGTTAGAATTGAAAATGAACTTTTCTTATGCCATCGTTATGTTCAGTACTATCGAAACTATTTACAAAAAAAATTTGACCAACTACTTTGTACACTTTATTAAGAGGAACAAAAAATGTCTCATGAACATTTTTGGCACTTATAACTATTCAAGAACTTTTTTGTGAGATTTTGACGGGACAGACGACGTCTGTTTTGGTGAATTTCCACATTTTTTTTACATCTCAACTTGTTTATAACTTTTGCAATTTTTTTTATGTGCTACGGAACAGTATCAGGTCATTTTTCTAGATATCCTTCCCTATCGAATGAGCTATCACACATATTTTGCCGACCATTATCTCTATTTTTCACCATTTTCAGTTTGTGAACAATACTATAATTCCAAAATAGTAGGCAGTAAATTCTTAAAAATGACTGACGTTTTTGCCTTAATCTGCGTCTTGTAGTGGCGTACGGAAATTATATCAAACAGGTGAGGAAAAATGGTGATGAAATATAAGGAATTACAATCTTGACAACAATGTGTTTGTTTGAATACAATTATATTCCTGAGAATTTAGTGCCTACTATTATGGAATTGTACTATAGACTAGTATGCGAGTAGCCCTCAGGAGATATGCATATTCATCATCACACATATACGATAAAAAACGTAATTTTTTCTGAACATACAGCAGCTTATTTTTTTCCAAAAATATCAATAAATCGTTAGTATAGTGAGGAAAAGATTCAGATACTCACGAACTTGATCGACAATTCTCTGTCTAACCAAATAACTAGGTTGGCATCCAGGTTGTAGTGCTCTTCCACCATTTGGATAAAAGTCAGCATGTCCTACAGATAAAGGAAAACCGAAAATTCCCGAATCTGTATGAATAACGTCAACATATTCAGCGTCATTTGAATTGAGTCGTTTGGAAATATCTGAAAACAATAATGGCGTTTGATAGAAACTGAACAGACGAAAAAAACCTGAAATTATGTGTTATATTTTCAACATCCAATTAACTCAAAATGATTAAAAACGTTTAGTGGAGACTAACTGACTCACCGTCGGTTAGCCGTATTTTGGGAAATAATAATAAAAATGAGAAAAAACTGTCTGTTTCGTAACGACTTTTATTTGTAAGTAACGTTACTGCTGTTTCGTCCTTTAAGGACATTTTGAAACTGATACAATAAATAATTAGATTAATATCCAGAAAACTGGCAAATTCAGGTTGTTTAATATGCTTCATTGAATGAAAATAATGGCGTTTTACCAACACTTCTTGTTATACTGGAAGTCGGTACCAACTTCTTAAATTCAAACTCTCACAACATTCTATAGTATGTTACAGTATCCTTCACCATTCAAATTTTCATCATAAATATAGCATCCAACTGTCGGACATTACGCCTAATTTCAGTATTATCTTAGGAGAATATTTTAGAAAAGTTCATTCTTCTCATCAAATAGTTGTTACATTATAATGATTACTAGCGAACCGCCCCGGCTCCGCACGGCTGCAATGCTGATACTAAATATAAATTCACGCACCGGACATTTAAGGACATGGATAAACAGTGATGAAAATGTAACTTTATTTTATGAACGCACATCTACAACATAAAACGTACCTACATAAAAAAATTCAGCCTTCGAAAATATAACCGTACGAGAAACATTGATGAAAAGGTAATTTTCATATGTAAACGGGCCCCTTTTATCACCAGGAGGGAGTCCCAGTTGGAATATTTGAAAATCTTCTCTTAGTGCGCATGTGTGATTAATGACTCGTTTATTTTGTGGAAATTCATGATCACTTCAATGAAATGCATAAGCATTTATAAGTATAGATTTTTCACTTATAATTTTTTTTTGAGTCGTAACATGAAAATGTTCAGGGTAACACTTTATAGTTAACGAAATAACCAGCTTGGGTTCTATCAAAAAATGTATGCACGATTGGAGTACTCTTCCACAGATTTTTCATGAAATTGAGATGAAAATGAAACACGATTTTTTATGGACCTCTCTGAGGATTGTCAACAATCTGAAAAAAAATGTAATGGAAAAATATTATATTTATCAGTTACTTGTCGCATTTGATGATTCTGTCTATTTTTAACACCTGTATTCAGTTTCCCATTTAAATTATTTTTTGAGATTGGGAAAGGTGAAAATTACCAAAAATTTCGATAAAAAACGATGATTTTCTCCTCAAAAATGACATTCAACCGATTTCTTTCAATACATCTACTACCATTCAGCAAACCTCTCAACTTTGTTGAAACTTTAATCATTGAATATGTACTATGGACTCATTTTGTAGTCATTAACAGTTTCAACAATAATATTCAAAAACAACAATATCCAAAAATGAATTAAAGTTAGCCAAAATGTTGCTGCAGATGTTGCTAGGTTGTCTGCTAGGTCTTGTGCCATTATTCGTTTCTGAGAAAATTGAAACAATAAATGAAAACACTCTTATAATCAAAGGAAAGCTGAACCTCAATTCGACAATGAATGATGAGGTCTGTTCAGAAATTGAATGTTCAAATTTCGCGAAATACGTAAATTCGATTGATGATTTTTTTATGTTGCTCCACTCATCGCGATCATATGTTCACAATTTCAGTTGTTTAGCATTTTCAGTTTTTTCTATGTTTTTTACCACTTTTATTTGTAACTAACGTTACTGCAGTTACATTTTCAAACTTATACATGTACAGTGCTTTTCATTAATGTTCCTTTTATTTTTTGAAATGGTCATCTCAAAAAATTGAAATTTGGGATAATGACATTGATGCATGAATACTCAATTTTGAAGTGATATAGTTCGTTGATATTATGATTTCACAGTAACTATGGTTTGCAACTCGTCAGTGCAAGGTTCCGCTTTGAATACCCTAGTGATGGCTATAAATAAATCCTTTTCTCTTGGAAATTTCCCTCCATGTCTAAAAACAGCTATTTTAATTTCTCTTTTCAAAAGCTGTCCAAACCAAAATAACTTCAGACCTATCTCCATGCTGTCAACACTCTCAAAAATCATAGAAAAAATGGTGAAAAAAAGGGTATTAGCTTTTCTTTATAAATACAATATATTATCTAACTGTCAATTTGACTTTTAGAAGGCAAAAGGAACAAATGATGCAATCTTTTCCTATCTTGAACATGTCTACACACATCTCAACAATGGTGAGGTCGTAGCTGCAGTATTCTGCGATTACTCCAAAGCTATTGATTGTATTAATCATGAACTTCTTTTGCAAAAGTTGAACTATTATGGCTTTAGTGGAGCGTGTAATTACTGGTTCAGGTCTAACTTAAGTGATAGAAAACAGTTAGTAAGATCAAACGAAAAACTATCCCACACTAAGGATATCTTATGGAGCGTTCCACAAGGATCAGTACTGGTCCCGATTCTCTTCCTTATTTATGTAAATGACCTTGTTACTCTCTCAATTCAAGGAATTTTTACGATCTTTGCGGATGCCACCACGCTCCTTTGACATGAAAAAATACTTCTAATATGAAAGAAACTATCTCTAGTGATTTAGAAGTTATGAAAAAATGGTGTGACGCAAACTACTTGTGCTTTAATATTAAAAAAACTAACCTACTCAGCTTCAGCTATAATATTAACAATTTATACTTGAATGGACAAATTCTTGAGAATAAAAACTAATCCAAATTCCTGGGAATCTTCATGGATAACAAATTAAAATTTGATCAACATATTTCAGCTTTGAATAAAAAATTGGCATCAGGATGTTATGCACTTCCAATAGTTTCAAATGAACTGAGTTCTTCCACAACAAAAATGGTATATCATTCCCTGTTGAGTCCCACCTGAGATATGGTGTTGCCTTCTGAGGATTTTGCAGTCAACAACTTTTTTATTCAGTGTTTGTTTTGCAATATTTTCTATTGTTATATTTTATCTATTAGATATGTGAATTTAGTTTTGCTCAAATTAAGTTTCTGGTATTTACCGAACACATAATATAACAACGTTTACAAAAAACTGAAGGATGATCTAACAAAATCAATTGAACAAAAAATTCATAGAACATTGGCTAAACATGAAGACATGCTAACCAAAACAGAACGCTAACCAAAACAGAACGCTAACCAAATTTCCCATTTTAGTAAACCTCCTCGTTTCTATGGTTAACCAAAAATACATAAACCTAATGTTCCTTTAAGACCAATTGTGAGTTCAATTGCATCTCCCTGTCAGAAATCAGCAAGATACCTTTTTGAAATTTTGAAACCAATAGCAGCAAACAGTAATACAACCCACTTCATAGATGAACTTAAAGATATAACACTCAGTGATGGTGATGTTCTGATGAGCTTTGATGTTGAAAGTCTTTTCACGAATGTTCCTGTTGATAAAACTCTTCAAATAATTGTCAGATCCAGGTTGGAAAATGACTTGACTTCAAAACATCGAACGAAGTTCGATATTTTGAAGTCATATTTTGAAATCATCTCCATATTTTCAATATGGAGATGATTTCTATCAACAAGAATTTGGCATGGCTATCTCCCATCTCAAGTAACATAAATATGGAGTATTTTGAAGAATCTTTTGTTGAAACTTACCAGAATGGCCCCAAAGTTTGGTGGAGATACGTTGACAATATCTTTGCTGTTTGGAATAGAAACCATGATGACCTGAATGCTTTTTTAAATTATATCAACGAGCGGGAGCCGACAATAAAGTTCACAATAGAGATTGAACAAGATGGTCGACTCCCTTTCCTTGATGTAATGTTGGAGAAGTCATCCGATCAATTCGATACAAATGTTTATCGGAAGAAAATACATACAAATAGATATCTTCACTATACATCGAATCATCATGCGAGTGTTGAAAAAGGTATAATAAATTGCCTTTACAAAAGAGCTAAAATGATTTGCAATTCAACTGAAAATTTCAATAAAGAAATATCATTAATTAAATCTGTTTTGAAAGATAACGCTTATCCAGATTCGTTCATAAACTGAACACTACTCCCCTGGCTAATACCACGAAGTGCGTTGGATTATATCC